CTGGCCGCCTCTTTGCAAGCCGTGGGCCGGAGGCCGCCTCGCCGCCTCCCCCACCCGGGCGGCATCCCGCCGGGCAGCCCGGGCCGGCCGCCCTCACACTCACCCCGGAGTTGGGCGAGAGGGAGAGTTGCCGCCTCGGCCGCCTGCGCCCTCCCTCGGGACCGGGCTGGAGGAAGGAATGTGCTCCCGGACCCGGGGCCACTTGTCGCCTCCTCTGGCGCCCGGGAAGCGGGCGGCCGACCGCTGCCACCCCTGGGAGGACGGTTTGCCCGGCGCCCGAGCCCCGCTTCCCCCCGCATGTTACCGCGCGACCCTCCGCCCTGTCGCCGAGGGTGGGACGCGCTCTCCTGCACTCCCCGCCGGCGGTCCGAGGGGCGCCCGCGACTCGGGGACTTGTCGGTGTGCACACCCGATTCTGCTCACCGTCTCCGGAGAGGAAGTCTTCTCCCTCTTCCTCTGGCGGTTTAGAGAGAGGCAGCGTTTCCCCCGCACCTTGAAGGTGCTGGGCTGTCTCGGAGGGAGTGAAGGGTAGTACTTTTTCACGTTGCCAGACGGGAGGCAAGGTCTGCGCCTGTGACATGTGTAAGAGGAGGGCCTTTTCTGGGATTCGCAGCTCTGTATGTTGGGGGTAGGGTAGAAGTATTGCCAAGCAGAGGCTTGGGGTGGCCTCCCAGCTCTTTTGTCAGTGTGTTCATTGTTACTGTCATTCACGAAAGGGGCAGCTGGAGATGGCATCAGCACTTTTCCCGAGCAGCCTCACCGGCCTCCGGTCGCTCAGCATCAAGCAGGTGCTGGAACTACCTAACGAGTTAGACTGGGTTTCGAGCGATTTCAGTCTTCTGTCTCCTGTCTAAAAACGTTTTAGAGCTCTTTATGGAAGAAAGTGTAGGGACTTTCCCTTTAATAAAGCTCTTGGTAGAACGACTGTTTTCTGGGATTACTTTCAGGAGTCACATTTCTGGTAAGTTGACAAAGTTGCACTGTGATTCCTAATAGTTTTCAGTCGTTTGATGTTGGCTTATCAATAACTAGACCTAACTTTCAAGTGAATTGGATCATGTTTCCCTTTGCAAATAGTTGGCTTGGAGAGTGACATGGTTTGTGAGAAAACAAAGATTTGGAAGAAAATTTCTTTCTCTGAGGTTGCTAAACTAGCTCATTAAATACATGCAGTTTACTGACTCACTGAAGATTTGCTTTGTTTTGAAGACACAAAAAGAATCGTGATGATTGGGTTTACAAGCCTAACAGGTATCTATAGTTTTGTATTAAGCAAATGACATTTAGGGGTTACTGTGGCTTCCCTTCATGGTCCTAAAGTACTTCATAAACATTTAATCAGTTCTCATAACCTGAGAATGTCAGTTAAGGTTTTCTTGTTCAACATTTGGGGATGTGTCCAAGACTGTACTAAGCCAGTGGCAGAACGGGAATTGGGAAATGGGAGTCCCTGGTTCCTGGGTTTGTCCTTCAATCAGTGTGTTATTGATATTAAATTTATTAGGGAATAATAGTTTTTCAGAGTTGTAAATCACTAAGCTTTTTTCTTCAATGTGTTTTGAAGAATTAAAAAGTCTCGGTTTTCACTTTTATGGCCATCTTTTGGTTAATTTCTTTTGCTTTTGTTTTCTATACCTTTCTATAAGTGTTTTAAACTTTTTTTTTGTAGTTTGCATTGAAAAGTGGGCAAATGATTCTGGAGGAATTTTTATAGATTCTAACGTTCTTTGCATGGTAAAATAAGGCATAGTTTACACTTTGGACTTGAAAAGACTTCTTCAGTAATCTCACATATAAAAGAATCCTTTAATCCGGCTCAAAACATTCTGTGATTATAGCTGTTTATCAATAGTGGATTAAAATAGACTATTTTCTTAAAAATTTTAAATATATTCTTACTTCCCTAAATTCTGAATGAAATCAATAATGCCATTTTGGTAATGCGAATTGTCATAGAGAACCATATTGTTAAAAAAAATTCAGAGTGTGTGTGGCTTTTGTATGTGTATGTATGTGTGACTTTAAACTTGAGTAATAATTAAGGGTGAATTTAAAGCAATTTAGTTGTAAAAACTTATTTTGTATTTTAAAAATAAGTAAAAATATAGGTAAATAGACTTTGACTTGGTCTAGTAATTTCTATATTTAATATTATCCCAGGGCCAGCCCCGTGGCTTAGCGGTTAAGTGCACGCGCTCCGCTGCTGGCGGCCCGCGTTTGGATCCCGGGCGCGCACCAACGCACCACTTCTCCGGCCATGCTGAGGCCGCGTCCCACAGACAGCAACTAGAAGGATGTGCAACTATGACGTACAACTATCTACTGGGGCTTTGGGGGAAAAAAATAAATAAATAAAATTATTAAAAAAAAAAAAAAAATTATCCCAGTGTACTTATATTAATAACATTGACCGTTGGAAAAATTCTACTTGTGTTATTATTGTGTCCCTAGCAAACAAGTCCAAACAACGTGTAATAGGAAAGAGACACGTGCTTGTGGATTGCCATTCTGTGGTTCCTACATAATTCAGATCGTGTCCATAGAATTAAAGTGTTCAGTTACTGATATAAGTAAGGGTGAAATCACATTTGCTTCAGTTATGTACCTAGTTCAGAAAAAAAAATGTTTACATATGTATATGTACACACATATAGCTTCATTTTTATTTACCCCTTGTTATATCCTAGATCCATTGATAGAGAGAAGTATGAATTGCTCCCTGCCCTCAAGGAATTTACAGTTTATTTGAAGTAAGTAATAATTCAAGACAGCAAATAATCAGATAAATTGAGACAATGCTTTTAGGAGTTTTGAGGAGGATGGAATCACTTCAGGGTAGGATTTAAATTGTGCTTTGAAGGAAGGTATTTGGGTAGCTTTGGAAAGGAGGAAAGAACATTGGGGAACACCACAAAGATTCTGAGGCAGGTAAATGTAAGTAGGTCAATTTAATAAGAATGGAAGGTTCATACAAGGGTGTAGTTCATAAGCCTGGTTGGAGCTAGAGTGTAGATGTCTACGAATGCTATGCATCACGGGGATTTGACTTACTCAGTAGGCAGTCAGGACCAAGGAGAAGTTTCTGAGTAGGAGTCTAATATGCGAGTAGCATTTTAGGAAAATTAATCTCCTAGGAAGGTTAATCCTCATTCCTTTACGGGTGTACAGCAGGGATCAGCAAACTGCCCACAGCCCAAATCCAGCCTTCTGCCTTTTTTCTTTGTAAAGTCCGTTAGCTAAGAATGGTTTTTAATTTTTAAGGGTTAGAAAACAAACAAAAATCGAATGCAGTAGAGACAACATGTGACCTGTAAAGCCTAAAATGTTTACTGTTTGGCCTTTTACAGAAAAAAATTGCAAAAATTTGCCGACCCCTAGTGTAGGTTAGTGGTTCTCAAAGTGTGATTTCTAGACCAGCAGCATAATGTGTCTATACTCTGTATTTTGTCCATATTTGTTACAGTTTTCATTTCATTATTTCAGGTCCTTATCATTTTTGTCAGGACAGTTATAACTGCCTCTTAACTGGCCGCCTCTTTGCAAGCCTTATCCTCCTGCAGTCCATCCTCTACATTGCTACTTTAATAACCTATCTGACCACACAATTTCTTTGCATAAAGCTCACTGACCCATCTTGCCTGTTGGATAAAGTCCCTTCATGACTTGGCATCTTCCTATCTCTTTGGCCACTCCTCCTCACCCCACCCCAGTTCTTGCTTTTACTACCTTTTAGCAACATCTAGCAACTGTTCATTGTTTATTTAAATACACTGTGCTGTTTCTTTTTTTTTCCAGGAAGATTGGCTTTGTGCTAACATCTGTTGCCAATCTTTGTCTTTTTTTTTCTTTTAATAATTTTATTTATTTATTTATTTTTTCCCCCACAGCCCCAGTAGATAGTTGTATGTCAAAGCTGCACATCCTTCTAGTTGCTGTATGTGGGACGTGGCCTCAGCATGGCCGGAGAAGCGGTGCGTCGGTGCGCGCCCGGGGTCCGAACCTGGGCCGCCAGCAGCAGAGCGCACACACTTAACCACTAAACCACAGGGCCGGCCCCAATCTTTGTCTTTTCTCTTTTTTTTTTTTTCCCTCCCCAAAGCCCGAGTACATAGTTGTATATATCATAGTTGTAGAGTTGTAGCTCTTCTATGTGGGATGCCGCCTCAACATGGCTTGATGAGCTATGAGTAGGTCCGCGCCCAGGATCCAAACTGGGTGAACCCCGGGTGGCCAAAGCAGAATGCGGGAACTTAACCCCTAGGCCGAGGGGCTGGCCCCTGTGCTGTTTCTTATCACTGTGCGCTTTTCCTCAAGCTATTCCCTCTGTTGGAATGCACTTTACTAGGATAACCTCCTACTCATCTTTTTTTTTTTTTGTGGGGAAGATCAGTCCTGAGCTAACATCCATGCCAATCCTCCTCTTTTTGCTGAGGAAGGCAGGCCCTGAGCTATTGCCAATCCTCCTCCTGTTTTTTTTTTTCCCTTTTTCTCCTCAAAGCTCCAGTAGATAGTTGTATGTCATAGTTGCACATCCTTCTTAGTTGCTGTATGTGGGACACCGCCTCAGCATGGCTGCAGAAGCGGTGCATTGTGCACCCCCTGGATCTGAACCTGGGCCAGCAGCAGCAGAGCGCACTCACTTAACCGCTAAGCCATGGGGCGGCCCCCTCCTACTCACCTTTTAAAGACTCAGGTGTTACACCTCCAAGAAGCCTGCCCTGATGCTTTGCCTCCCCCAGGCTGTTTTTCGTGTTCTTCTGTGTATGTG